TTTGATCAAAAACCCACAGCAAAACCATAGTCATCTTAGGTTACGGTTTTGGCGACAGATCTTGCTGTCGGGCAATTAGTGCCAAATTTGCAGCAAAAACCGCGCAAAGCTTGCAGCGCAGCAAAGTCTGCGCGGTTTCTGCCGCCAATCTGCCGTCAAATCGCTACAAGTTCTGCGCGGTTTTTGCAGCAATTATCCGACAACTAGCTCTGCCGCATATTTGGCGGCAATTTGGCAGCAAAATTTGATATAACAGATCCTGCATCAAATTTGTTATCTATTTGCCATCAAAAGTTGATAGCAAGCTCGAAATCTGTTCGCACAGGTTTGGCTATCTAGGTACGTGATTTCATGACATAAGCACCGGATACACACAAATGATGTACAAATTATATCAGCAAGTTCTTGACGTGATGTTGATTATTATTATTAAATGAAGTATTTTTCTGACATCATGACATAAACGATATCTGAACCACATATAAGCCCGCATCGGTGTGTGTTCTTGTCCCCATGTTTTGAGTACAACATAAGCTCAGAATAAACACATTTTGCTATCTAGGTCTATAAGTCTTGAAACAATCATAACACATAGCACAGATATAGATCCTGGGAATGTTTTAAAGATATTATAGATTACATGTATTCCTTAAATAATTAAGATATGTATAATATAATATATAATTATCTATTAAGAATATATTGAGGATATTTGTATATCTTAACTAATCACTTTCTCAGTACATACTGAGAATGATTTTAGGTACATAAAAATAAATTTAAGAAATGTACTAAATATATTTCTCAAACATATCTATTGTATACCAAAGACATTATCAAAACATACGAAAGATGCTGACAATTGTGACATACGAATATTCTCAATATGTTTTTTATAGAGTATAGTGCGAATACACACTATACTCACTAAACTTTAAAATATTAAATATGTAACGAGAACCTATTATTACCCGGACAGCATAAGATCTCCTGAGAACGTTCTAAGGACGTCCTGAGGACGAAGAAATGTCCTCAGGACTTCCTCAGGATGTATTTTGGATGTCCCTTGGACATCTGTGTTGTTAAGGTATCTATCAAAATAGGTCCTACTAGATCCTACTAGAACCTATTATATATGTAACCTCCTATTGTGATATTCTTCGAACATTCTCAAAGTATATCTGTACTATATAGGAATATATCCAAAATTAGACTAAGATTATTTTGGTACTTTATATGCTACTTTAAAGATTAATTAATAGGTTATATTAAACACTTATTTATTTATTATTATTTGTATATTATCATTGTTATATATTATTTATTATTTTCATTTATTAATTATTAATTTTAGTAATTTCCAAAAGTTAAGTTTTTACATTGGACTATCGGCTGCGTTCCGAAATTTACAGACAATACTGAAAATCTATAGTTTATGTTGCATATATTGTAGATTTTTTTAATACTGTAGCAACAAATATCGAAACGCGACAAATGTCGCTTCTTGCCGCGCGGCAAATGTTTTGTGTTCTGTGTGTAGAAATTATTTTTCGGGCACGCATCTGTTACTCTCTTGACATGTTAATTTTTAATTCAAACTTATATATTTGAAAATAATATTAAAAAGCTCTTAAAAAACTCTTATTTAAATAAAAATAATACACCTAAAAGTATTATACTCTTATTTAATAAATTTCCCAGTAAACACAACTGTTACGTTGTAACGTAACAAAATGTAACATACAATATAACATATACATGACATGTAATAGAGATGTGCGAATCAAAGATTTTTTATGTCGAATCAAATCGATGAAATTTCACTTGAATCGAATCGAATCGTTGAAAGAATTTTTAATTAACATAATCATTGAATTCAACATGAAAATAGTAACTTTCTCAATATGAGAGAAATAACATTGATCATATGATATCAATTTATTTTAACCCTTGTGTCTAAAACCAAATTTAACTACGTTAGTCTATGCCCACTGCCAGAATTTCTTATATAAATACTCCGTAGCATGGAAAATTTGCTCTGTCGGAATTCGACAGCTGTGATATATAGAAGAAGGGCAGAGACCATTTCCATGTATATAGCTCGCTCTGACTCACACAAAAAAAGTTTTATAGAATTAGTCAGGATTAGTGGACCCATATAGCACAAATCTTTAAAAGACTTCTTAAAGAATTCCAAAAGTGTTCTGACGGACTTGGAAACTCTTTAAGAAGTCTTTTAAAGATTTGTGCTATATGGGTAGCCTAACGTACTATGGCCACTTGAAATTTGAAATGAGACAAAAGGTGGAGAGTTTGCACACACTGTAGGTTCGAAGGAATGAGACGAGTAGTACTAGCTCAGTGTACATTCTGTCAAATAAATACCAGGAATTATTCAATAAAATACAAAATATTGGTTTAATCATCCAAATTTATTTTGTCGTCTTCAAAATAGGCGATCAAAACACATTTGATGCGATATACTTATACCAGCTACAATAATCCAGTCGTCGAAACACTTCTTATAAGCACTTTTCGGTATGACCTGCAGCTCCTTTTGCGAATTTTGTTTTATGACTTCAATGGACTCAAAACATCTTCCACGAAGTGGTAATTTGAATTTGGGGAACAGAAAAAAGTTACATGGGGTCATATCTGTCGAATACGGTGCTTTGTCAATGACATTCGTTGAGTTTTTGGTAAAAAATTCGCGTACAAGAGTCGATGTGTGGGACGGCGCATTATCGTGGTGCAAAATCCAAGAATTGTTCTTCCACAAAGGAAAGTGGTTTTGGACACAAGGATTAAGATAAGAAATATATAATATATTTCAGTTCCAGCCTTGAAAGCTGCGCAACGACACATATCGATCCGACAGTTGTCGGTAAGAGTTTATCTAGAAGCCATTATCTTCTTTTAATATTTTTGAAGAAAATCTTAATATATAGCAAACTTTTCAAGTTATCCCGGATAGGAATTTAAAAGAAGGCTTGTAAAGACCCTAGATAGTTTGTCCCCATTTCTGTTTAGGCGCTATTCGGACAAGCCTAGAGAACCTCTAGTACAGAGAATCGCCAACTTGGTTATATGACCAGCTATTTTGTGATTGGCTGGCATGTACGGATTTAGACATTGCGACGCTAATGCAGAACAGATGATTACATATGTAAGGTTAGCGACCGTTCATCATATTAATAAGTACGTTTTGGTACGTTTAGATAATGATATTTATTACGAAATTTAAGTGAAGTATTTCTTAAGAGAAGTTATAGATATAATGTGATTGTAAGAAATATAAATTTAGGCGTTAAAGCTATATATTTATTAGTTTATAGATAATTATTTTGTGACGCAAATTTTTAATCAGGTAATTTATTGTGCTTGTATTACAGATACCATTATCGTACGCTATGCTATCGAATTACACAACATACAACTGTTGCAACAGGAGTGATGAAGGTTACGCATTATTCAGATATCCGCAAGATGAGACCATGATGAGAAAATGAATTGCTATGGTTGGAAGAGGCAAAAACTGGTCCCCTAGTATTAAGCTGCCAATACATGGGAGCAGGAGATAGGGCTATCGCACACAAATTGACATAACTGCATATGCATAGCATAAGATCGTATGGACCAATGAGCATCGAATATTAAGCATCGAACATCAATATGGTGACTTAATACTCGATGCTCATTGGTACATACTGTCTTATGCTATGCATATGCAGTTATGTCAATTTGTGTGCGATAGCCCTAAGCATCGAACACCAATATGGCGACTTAATACTCGATGCTCATTGATACATACGGTCTTATGCTATGCATATGCAGTTATGTCAATTTGTGTGCGATAGCCCATAGCCCTAAAGATGCCAATACATGGGAGCGTTCCAGCGTCGAGCGTTAAAGCGTTAGCCAATCAACGTATCAGGTTCTAGAAGTATAGTTGTAGTTCTTGCGGAAAGTAGCACGTTGATTGGCTACCGCTTTAACGCTCGACGCTCGATGCTCCCATGTAAAAGTACCTTTAGGTGTACAACTTTGCTTCCGCCGTTTTTTTTCCGAAATTCGAGGCTTTATTGTAAAAAACTGATTATACATTTATGATTCAAAGTAATGTCCATCGCTAGCCACTACTTTCTCCCATCTTTCAGGCAGCGTACGAATCTCACGTCGAAAAAACTGGTCATCTTTTGAGGCGATCCACGAATCGATCCAATTTTTTATTTCTTCATAAGACCGGAAGTGCTGGTCAATCAGGCCGTGTGCCATTGATCGAAACAAGTGATAGTCAGAGGGAGCAACGTCTGGAGAATACGGCGGGTGGGGTAGGACTTCCCATTTCAACGTTTCCAAGTATGTCTTGACCACTTTCGCAACATGGGGTCGAGCATTGTCATGCTGCAAAATCACTTTATCATGTCTCTCGTTGTATTGCGGTTGTTTGTCTTTCAATGCTCGGCTCAAACACATCAATTGCGTTCGATACCGATCGCCTGTGATTGTTTCAGTCGGTTTTAACAGCTCATAATACACTACGCCGAGCTGGTCCCACCAAATACAGAGCATGACCTTGGAGCCG